TGTGTGTGTGTGTGTGTGTGTGTGTGTGTGTGTGTGTGTGTGTGTGTGTGTGTGTGTGTGTGTGTGTGTGTGTGTGTGTGTGTGTGTGTGTGTAGTTCCCGTAGATTTTTTTGTTGAAAGAGAGAGATAGATGGAGAGGTAGTAATTTACGTGTGTGGTTAACGTGTGTATTAGTGATAGATTAGTGCGCAGCAGAACGATACATACGTATGCATGAAAGGTTTGAATACGTGACGTCACGCGTGACTGGCCGGGCTCACGGCTTGCTCTACTCGTGTACACACGCGTGGGAAGAAAATACTTAGTCCACTCCTGATCAGGCTATATAAACATTACTCACGAGTCCTACGTCTTGCCCTAGAGTCTCAAAAACAGAGACATGTAAATACACTTTCCCTCCTAAGGCCTAATCATCTACCATCATCAGCATAAACACGAGGTGTGAAAGAAAACACTGCTGTCCATGTCACGCACTCCCTGCTTATCTTATCCTAGCTTACCTTCCCAGCCGAGATTTGCACGACATGCATACCCGTCATTCTATCTGCACATATATATATATAGCCATATCTACCCACCCCCTCTCCCTCCTTGCCCGTCCCACACTCCTCTCATCCATCAGCACATCACGAAGCGAGGGTCTCATCATGTGTGTGCGTCCGATACCCACGACATTGAATCGCACATCACTGCGTAGATATCGTATCACATGGATGTATCACCGCCATCTACCAAACATGTGGTGCTGGGCTGCAAGTGGTTCTGGATCGTAGTATGGCGGACAGAAAGATCAAGATATCCACCATGTGGTCGTGCTGGGGAGGAAATGGTGATGGGGATCGTCGGCGGAGCGTGGTGGTGGCGTAGGTATGTGTGATGGGGTTGATGGGGAATGGTGTTGTGGGATCATGGTGGAGGGTGACGGTGTAAATGATGATGGGTTATAGAGTGTTTGTGCTGCTGAGGGTTTGAGGAGTATTTAGGAAAGACATGGCTTACCCGGCATCTACGCTCATCGACTAGGTGTATATGTTCAACCGCACCTACCCATCTCCACATCTCCGTTCTCTTTTCTGTAACCTATAGACCATCATAGAAACACATCCACCACATTCCAAAAGACACCATGCGCTCTCACCACCGCTTCAGAATACAGCCGTATCCATGCCCTTATTGGAATATTGAGGTTGTAGGAGACTCACTTGTTGTATTAGAACCCCCTTTTGACTAGCTCACTAGAAACCGACAGTGGGAGTGACAAACTGTATATGCGCGAAGTGTCCACGAAGCAGCCACTCCGTCGATTCGTGCACAGAGTTCTGCTGCTCGGTGCTGAGATGTAGCTCTGGGTGTTCACGCGACCAGGTGCCCACAGCTGCGATACTTCTGACATTCGCCAAACTCTAGGACGCTTCACCCACGCAATCGCAGCATCTACGTTAATGAGCGACAAAGAGACCGGCCTTGATATATTATCGCTCAAAGATGACTACTGCATGACAATCTTGATCGAGCACGCCACAGCTAGAAAAGACCGGGCGGTGGAGATTTTACCGACTCCATTCATGCCCCAATTGATGAAGAGGGATTATTGTGAGAGGTTGGAGGGGAATTTTTATGAGTGGGTGGCTTGAGAGGGCGAGATTGGTTAGGGGGCCACTGGGACGAGCTGGATATGCAAAAGAGCTTAGGCGTAGTGAGACTGAGGTGGGCAGTGCACGTCGTGTATGTATGACTTGTGCCCGCATATAGCAATCCGATTCTTTTCGACAGGTGTGTTGTATCTGTGCCAATAGTATCAAGATCTGGTGGAAAATGGACAGGGCCTCTTGAAATCTTCGCTGGATCATCCTTTCCGCCCTTAATAAAACATCAGCAATGTTTGTATTTATCGACTAGATATCGTATGTCGGCCAAAGCCCTATCGAGGTCAGCGTGTCTTACTCGGAGAGACAGGAGGAGAAAAAAAGGAACGTACAGTTTCCTCGGACTAGGATTGTCCGGATAGTGAGCGGATGAGAGAAGATTGAACCGTCTGTAACAATCTTAGGGCGTTGAGGTCATCCTTGACTGGCTTTCAGACCAATCAGTGCTTTAGGGGCTCTCACATGGAGTACAAAATGTTCCTATCCTCGCAGTCCTCTTTAGGGTCTGATTTGGGGATCGATGTATGGTATTTCTCCATATAATCTGGTCCGATAGAGAATCTAGCGAGTCTCCACTTTGCTAGATCATCTATAATAACGTTAGTCCTCCCTCTTCTCCATCGAAACACTCCCTTGCGCCCAGAAAACGAATATATAGTGTAGGTTCTACTTTCATTCGTTGTGTCCCCAGAAAGATCCAGCACCAAACAGTATCAGCCTGTTCGTCTTTTTATCTATTCGCACATTGCGAATTTGTAAGTCCACAGGGACCAGCACTGGTCAAATCTTCTTTCCCGAGGCTTCCAGAGGCCGAAGGAGTCGTAGAAATACTACTCGGAGTAGCCTCACTGATAAGTCGTCCAGTTCTGAGGAGCGTCCTTGGGCAGCAGCTTCGTGATCGAGAATGTGCCGCATGCCTCTGGTGAAGAATATCTCCCAGGAGTCAGCCCAAGTTTTGTCTTGCGGGAAAGCGCCCATGTGTCGTCACATGAGAAATTCAAATTTTCCATGCGGATTCTGATGCATTGACTGTTTCTCGTATAGGTCAGCTGTCTACATATGCAATCGCGCCACCATAGAACAAAACGCTTCGACGTCAAGCTGCGCTTCAATGAGTTCGTGGAAGTCACTAATATAAGAAAAAGTGATCTTTCAAAGAAGAACAAAGCCCCCAAGCGAGTAATCTCACTATATATATACTCAAGCATTATAGCATATAGTAATGCCATCGATTCGTACTCGCCACGAAGCATACTCGTGCCAAGCTCACCTTGAGCAATCTGTCAAGACATAATACTCATGATTAGAATCCAGAAAGAAAGCGGTGCAGGGGGAGAGGGGGGTGGGGCGCTCGTTTTGGCAAAGAAGTCTTCAGCTTCTGGGTGTCGTCCGGTGACCGATAAGTGAATTGGGCACGACCAGCCGCATTCTCCCAATTGTAGAGAAGTGACTCGTTCGTCTGAACTGCATACGTCTGCTGAGATTGTTAGCAATTGGAGACTATGGTAACCCTGCAGCGTACGGGACATAATCGCCTCATCGACGGAGATGTTGTTTGAAAGATCACGAGGCAGGTCAGGCTTTGTTGACCACAGCTTGGGTTTACAGCCTAACAATTTTCATTCATCAGTGCTACCATTATTTAGTAAATGCTGTAGTGCAGGCGCTTTGTACTATGAATTGGACTTACTTGCCTCCCTGGCGATCCGCTGTAGGTCAGATAGAAAGACCCATCGCCCGGAGGACTTCCATCCTTGCTCTTTCCAGCTATCTGCAGTCTCTGGATAGTAGCTTAGCGTGCCGTGGATCGACACGTCGTGCGCAAAAATCACCATAACCCTGTCGTCAGCATCGAAAGCTTCAATGCTCTTTATTGTTCTCTCCGCATCCTCGAGATGTTCTGGGAAACAGGGGTCTAGGCCTAGATATGGCAGTATTTTCGAGTTGCGAGGGTGGAATTTGACGAGTTCCTCAGCGGGACAAGGGGAGGGGTTCAGACCAGGGGCATCGACGAAGTTCGGTAGAGGGAGAGCTTCGGACGGACGAAATTCGCCTCCCAAATGAACACTGTCTGCAGCCATGAGGATGAAAGTTGGTGGGTTGGCTGAGGTTCTTGCGAGCGCATTCAAATGCCCAAGAGCGTGCTGAACATTTTTGTAAGCATAATCTCCCACATACCAGCTGGAGAGCGCGACATCTTACCCCAGGTGCATCAAGAAGATAGAAACTGCCGTCTCCGAAATAGTCATGCGCCCTCAATCCACCAATGTCGATCTTGAAGCTATCTGCCTCGATACCCGTGATTTTTCGACCCGCAACGTCAGTCTCCCGGAAGTGTGCGTCCGGTACCTTGGGCCACCCAGGCATAAAACGGTCTTTGATGCCAGGGCCAACCACGAGATCGGTGTTTGGCGGAAAGCTTGCAAGATTCCCGGTATGGTCCCAATGAATGTGACTAATGAGACCACATCAGCAACAGCAAGATTGATCCCAAATAACAAAGCTTGCCTCCAGATCGCAGCGTCCAATTTGCCCAGATCAAGTCCGCCATCGCTTAATATGTCCACGAGCTCTTTCTCCACCTGGATAATCGTCCCTGATTCCTTGAGTCGAGCTACAGTTGAAGGTATAAGCTCTTCCCAGTTTTTTTTTATCCCAAGATCGAACAAGACATGGCGATCAGTATGCGTGATGAGGAACGCGTAAGAGCATAGGTCAAAAGTGTTGAGTCCAGGAAACTTCGGACGGAATAGATCGGCACAGTCGACCTTGTAAGCCCATGATGTAGTGTCAACAATTGACACAGAGACAGTCGATTCTGAAAAGGGGATCGTAATCTCGCGTGGTGCCATTCTTCCTGAACTAGGGTACCGTCGAAAATGATGGTAGGTATATACCCTTTCAAGAGGGCTTCGCTGTTTCCGAGTTCTATTGAATACAAGATGACGTGATAACAGCCTCAAGGAGTTCGCCTTTTCATGTAGGCTCATGCTTTGCCTAGGACGTGATGTGGTGGATGCACAGGTACCAGCGCTATGTGAAAGAGGATTGACTAGATGTTTCGTACCCGTGCCACGCACGACATGGTTGAAACCATTTCAACCATGTATTAGTGCGTGGCACGAGTAATACTCCAAACTTCTTAGTTAGTGGACGGAAGCTATTCCAGTTTCGACATAACGAAATCTTGCCCCGCTCGGGAGCGGGGGAACGGGTGTTTCGTCCGGTGCCATATAAATTGAGCTAGGTAACCTCCCGTCCTGAAATCGTAGACAAGGTGCTCGCGAGTCAGCGCCACCAGCCAGCTGTGATGCAACCGGTAAGTGTGCAGTCATGCAACGACCCTGGAAACTCTCGTCTACACTGATCAGTCCACGGGTTGATGATTTGGCAATGATCGACTTCTCCAAACCGTCTAATGATAAGCCATAAGCTGCCATCAGTTCATAGCGCTCCACGGCCTTTTGACTTGGAGCTGGAAAGCGTACAAGAATTCTTACCCGCACGTAAGGCTTCCGCAACCTTCAGCGAACATCGCTCAATTTGAGAGTTCTCCGGCCACGATGCAGACCCCTAGATCTACCGTTGGTCGTGTCGACAAGGCGCCCAAGGAAGTTAATGTGATTGTAAGCGGTGGTGGGGTAAGTGGTCTGTTACGTTGAAGCAAAACACTCTGAAGCAACACAGCCCTGGGGCCCCGGCACTCCATGGCCTCCAATACCCATCAATTCGTCCTGGCTCATAGCTGATGCCCTGCCTCGAGTCATCTTTCGCAACGGCGAACGACCCAATATACGGATAGTTCTATATCCAGAGCCTGTCCCGTCTTCTTGGCACGCTATTCGTCAGGCGCTACCTCAGTTCTGGAGCGGCGACAAGCACTTCTTCCACCTGCACCACGATCCCGACACACCTTCGCATTTCCCTGTGACAGCTGTTTTGCATATGGGCATGCTTGATAAGCCCAATGAGGCTTTCCGGCTTGAACAGAATGCGTTCAAGCTGGGCTATGAACTTCCAGACGTAGATGGCAAGCGTCCTGATGAAGACGACTTGACCGGTGGCGGCACTTGGACTGACATACCAGATCAGCTGTCTACAGAGCTAGACATAGGCTCCATCATCACAAAAGTGAAGTCAACATATAAAGTACATCGGCTCCCCCTTGTCCTGCATGTGCTGTCTTGCTTATACATGTATCTCCTGAATAGGACGCCGCCATTCGCATCTCCTACGATCCTGCTCGTTTTCTTTGCGCATATGAGTACTACACTTCGCTCGCAGCGGTATACAAGCGCAGCGAGAAGCGAAGAGTACTTTTCATGCACACTCCGATAGAGCATGAGAGCGAAAACATTCAGTACGGCGTTCAGATTGTTACGAAAGTCATTGAATCCATGGTGGAGGAATTGGAAAGCTCAGAGACAGCATCAGAACATCAAGCCTAGGTGTCTAGAATGCAAGTCCTTTTCAACTAATCCGGTCATTCGGTGCTACCTATCCGTGTAGAACCATTTCCTCGTCGCATATACCAGCTTAAGTCCGCACGCTTAAGAAGTGAAAGTGAAAGCAGACCCTTAGTTCATGCATACCCATCGACCAACGAAGATGATGAGGTTCGTGGGGATAGCTGCAACCGGCGTGAATGACGATCGATGAGTTGTTGAGTGTTTGTGCTACTGAGGGTTCCAGGAGTGTTGGTATATGGTTTTGGGAAGGTATGGCTTACCCTGCATCTACACTTATCGATTTATATCTATATATCCAACCGCGCCTCCTCCTCTCCTTCCCTCCTCCGCAAACCATCACAAAAGCACACCTAGCATATTCCAAAAGAGCCATGCGCTGTCACCACCGCTTCCATATGCATCCGTACCCATGCCATGTCCCGTTCGTCGTGTGTGATATTCCCGGTACTGGGCATCGCGTCATGTGTGCCCACCAAGTGCATCATGGGCTTGGCGATGTTGTATATCAGTAGTATTGCGCGCTGATGGCGATCATCATCGCGATTGTCATGGTACGTAGTATGTGCATTGTGTCTGGCTTAGGCTCCATCGCATACAGGATCTGGCATGGAACTTCCGGCCAATTCCTTGCCGTGTGTGCCTGATCGTTTTGCGCTCCCGGGGCTTGGTGTTGAGAAAACCGATGTGCACAGTTCTGTAGGTTGTTGGATGATGAGGTGTGGTGGGCTTTATATATGTTGGATGAGATCCATTCTTAGTATTAATCGTATTACCCGGCATCCCATTCACAACACCCACTTACCCGCACCATTTCCCTTCACACAGTGCCAACCCGGCAGAAAGAATCCGCCAAGCAGATGCTGCGCAGTTTGGTATATAACCTGAGCCTCTCGTCTGCCATTGCGGTTTCAAATCAGAAAACTTTCTCCGCGACAATTTAGTATAGAGAGACTCCCGAAGATATCTACACCGAATTAACAGAGACGACTTGGTTCGTCCATGCTTCCGGTGCATTCGTCTTAGGGTTGTCATGTTGTTGGGGTGTGCCGAGTGTTAGCTGTTGGTGATGCTCTTTGTTATCGGTTCATGAGGATGATGATGATGATGATGATGATGATGATGATGATTAGGCGTGTTAAAATTCGCGCGCGTTGCGTCTGGAATGGTGACAAGTAAGGGTTAGATACGAGGAGACAGGTACGGGACGACATGGCACGGTGTTAGGATATTTGCAGAGCGGCACCCGACGGCAACATCTGCAGACTAGTACATTGTTTTTTTGCGTTTAGTTGCGAAATTCGTATCTGCTATGGATTGTATCAAGCTTTTCTTCGCACGAATGAGAACTTACTTTATGCGTTCTGCGTTCAGGGGGTTGTGAATGTGTTTCGGGGGTATGTAGGACCCGACTTATGTTGAATAGCGTTAGTGAGAGGCGAGCATCATTCACATTCATACATGATAGTAAACAAACCACTGAACAGCCACACATCTCCACCCAACTTCATACTATGTATCGCTTCCACGACCATCCCAACAACCCTCCACCCGATCCTAGCACTGTGAAAGAAACACCCTACCCGGCACATACATCCACAACAGGAATAGCTATATAAGCACAGCTGCTCCCCAGCGTCTCCATCCCCCTGCACACTTTCTGACATTGAAATCGTATTGCATGAAAGAATCATGGTACTCATCTCTCTCTGACGCTATATAATGCCACCTTCTATGGCTGCTCACTCTTGGACTCCAATGCTGGATAGATATGAAGACGATGATGATGATCGTTGTGAGGTGACCTTGGTGAAGAAAATCGCTGTTGTGTACTGACGATGCTGATCTGTGTGCTGGACAGATTGTCCGCGACGGCATGTGTCCGCGGCATCATTCATTTGTGTTTTGGTAAGTGTGGCGGCGTGACATACCCTGTATGCTATTGTAGGGAATATAATAGCAGGTCACAAGGAATATACAAGGAGAGAAGGAGTGATTAGTAATGTAGGAATGATGTGAAAGCAGTTAAAAAGATAGATATGCATTGTGGACAGTCTCAATACACGTACAGGACAGTCCCAAAAGTTGTAAGGAGAGCGCTAGGGTATGATATATAAGAGGTAAATTCTATAAGAATAAACTTCTTCTATCCCTCTGCTCCCTTCCGACTACACAATTCTACCATATCTTCGTGTAGAGTATAGACTTACCGAGGAGAGGGAATGTATCATGCTCTCTTCACCCTACTCGAATATTCGATGATGCCTCGTTGTTTGCCTCTGTAATAGTATGACTGCTCAGCATCGTGGAACGGTGACGCTCATCACCAAATTTAACCAGAAATAAGGACCATTGCTGACCAGATACGAGACAGGTACTCACGCACTGCCCTAATCTGAAGCTGTTTTCAGGATAAGCTACTACAGCAAGAGTGTGTCTCTCAACCTTTTCGTCAGGCTAATAACCCATTAGCAAGTCCTTCACGCAAGACCGAGGTAGAGGTGCTAAAGCATCCGGGACTTCAACAACGTAGCTGTGATATGGGGTCCTTTGAGCCGTATCCAGGCTGCCGGGTACGCCGAAATGGCGAGTTTGACTCGAGACACATTACGAAGCAGAAGACCAACGTACCCGACAAACCTACAGCCTCAGCTATTAGACACTCCAGTACTTATACAATGCCCCGTGACTCTAAATTTCTTCTTAGAGTCTACAAGGAAAGTAGAATCTATCTGCCGAGGGTCACTGCTCGTAGTATAACAACTCCAAGTACATGTTGTCGCTCCTGCTGGATAGATGTAATCAAATGATCCCGAGGAACAATGTTGGCACTATCCGCCTAAGCATTGTTCTTCATCTACGTGGGACGTTGATGATAATCGTCGCCAGGGAGTGGAGATTACGCTTAGTAGCGTCTATACAGAGGAACATCATTAAGGATGTTACAGACGACACATTGGTTGTGGCAGAAGTAGGAGTATAAGTTCCATTTCGTGAGATGGACGGCAGGTACCCACGAGGCAGTACAAAGCTCTGAAAGAAGGGTTAAGCTGATCGTATATACACAAAGGAGTGCCGGGTAGTCTGCCTGCAGTCTAAATACTACAGCACCGGGCAAGCTGGCTCTATGAAAGAGATGTCTGTTTTTACCTCTTCGAACATGACTTACCAGAGAATCATGTAGGTAAGCAAAGCCTATATATCGAAACTTTCCTAGGGAAAGACCGCGAACAAAATACTATGGCTATGTCTGCCATACTAGAACTAAATCTATGACAACATAGCTCTAGGCTCTGGACATGTTGCTGCAAGTGCTGTTGCTTATTAGCTAAAAAAGTATCGCGAGCATAGACTGACATGACACCACCATTCTCACTGGCCTCCTCCAACTCCGAACATCTCCGTTCTCACTCTTTCACTGTCAACTCCATACTCCTTCAACTTCGCCTCTGCAGCACACATGAACTCCGTCGGTCCACAGACAAAGTACCGCGTTCTCTCATCCCCTAAATGCAACAGCTCCCGCTCTCTCAAAATATCCATGTCCATCCTTCCCTGACAGTCATACTCCTCCCCCTGAGTCTCCCCCTCATCCGGACAAGTCGTAAAAAATACAACCCTCAAGCCCACATACTCCCTTTCTACATCCCTCAACCGCACACGAAACACCCTATCCACGTCCCTCCTCGCCGTATGCACCAGCGTAATCCTCCTCTTTCCCTTCTCCGCCTCCAGCATCGCCATCAACGGCGTAATACCCACCCCAGCACCCAGCAACACCAACGGCACATTCCCATCCCCATCCCCATCCACACTCCCCTCCTTTGCCGCATCAAACCCAAAATCCCCACCCGGGCAAGAAACCTCAACCTCCCCCCCAACCCCCATCCCATGCAAAACCCCACTCACGTACCCGCCCCTAAACCCACCCCTCCCATCCTCCCTCTTCACACTAACCCTCAAATACCCCCTTCCAGGCCCATCACTCAAACTATACTGCCGCGCCTGCAACATACCCTCATCCCCACTCCCAGTAGCGCCCGGCACACGCACCCGCAAACTAACATACATCCCCGGCACAAACCCCGGCACGTCCGCCCCATCCCCACGCACAAGATAAAACGACGTCACACACTCCGTCTCCATCTCCTTTCGCACAATCCGACACGTCTGCCAGCCTACCCAATTGCTGTGCTCCACACGCGCGTAGCCAGCGCGCTCAAGCGCAATCATACTGTTCGCAAGCTCCCAATACGCAGCCGTCCACGCAGCACGTACTTCGGCACTCCACACACCCCCGGGCAGATCGCCGAGCACGCGCTGCATCGCGGCGATCAAGCCCTCGCCGACAAGCGTGTACATGGGCGGCGTGATGCCGAGGCTAACGTGCTTCGCGCATACCAGCTCTAGCATCTTCTTCAAACTGGCCTGGTCGTCGATATGCGTTGCGTATGCATGCAGAGCGGAGGCGAGGGCGCGGGCTTGGTGGGATGTGGACTGGTGGGTTGCGTTGAAGATGTTTGAGAGGTCTGGGTGGGCGGATAGGAGTGATTCGTAGAAGGAGGAGGTGATTGCTGTGCCGTGGAGGGCGAGGGCGGGGATTGTGGCTTTGATGATTGCGCGCTGGGGGGTTGTGAGGGACATTTTCTTGTGTGCGTGCGTGCGTGCGTGCGTGCGTGCGTGCGTGCGAGCGAGGGAAGGGGTCTTTGGGTTAGAGGGCTGGAAGGATGTAAGAGTGCTGCTGTATGTAGTGCGAGATATATCGGATGTAGATTTGAAAGATATCGTAGTGGTTTTGAGGAAAGAAACATGTCCTTTATGCTCTGCCTATCCTCGTCCCTCGAGACACGGGACCCCCTGAGCCGTCTCTCGAAAGGGCTGACAGACTTTTTCTTTTATTATTTTCTTCAAGGACTGGCTGGTGTTGTGTTCGTACTGCTGGCTCCACTGCCAGACCCTGAGTTGCATCAACCCTGGTCCCGACGCATCGTCCTGCTCAGGCTTCTCCGGGGAGAAAAGGATCCGAGAAATGATTAATTATGCATGTGAGAGCCAAAGTTAGACTGGGCAGGTGAGATTCGATGAGTAAGAAGATCTCGCCAGGGACATGGTGTCACAAGAACTATCATGCTGACTGATGTGGTACATCCAACTTGGGCCGTTTGCCCATGCGACGCAAGCATTCTCTGTCAGACCCAGGGACGTGAGCGCACATGCTCTACGTTCGACACAGCATCTCCGTGGCACGTAGATATACATGGTAGGACAAACATACACCTTCGGCACAGAAGAAACAGCTCAGCATATAGATCGTCTCTGTTTGACTCTACTATTATGCTCATTACTCTTAGCTTCAATCTCCCAACAACAACATACCAGCGCAAAGCCAAAGTATGTCCCGCCATGATGCTAGTTATCTGCTATATGCAAATAATGCCCCTTTCACTTGATTGCTTTTCCTTCTAAAAGCCACCATATGAGTAAAGTATACCCATATATCATACTCTGAACTAATGCTCTGATAGGCTTTTCTTGCCTCTTAGCACTCCTGCTTGGTATCATCAAACTAATACTGTCCTGTCACACAGGGAACAAAGGAAAACTTGGGCAAATGGGAAAATGTGGATACGGGGGCGGCGTGGAATGGGTGGGGTAAGTCTATGTTACATACGACAAGTCGTAGGTAGTGAAGAAAGGAAAGTGTGAGTATATGACCTCGTAGCCATGTTGATTGAGAAGATGCCTTCGAGTCGGCCGTTCAGTGACGGAGGATCCGACGGCTAGGTGTCAAAGAAGAGCTTTTTCCACGATGAACTTTTATGGTCCCACAATGCGCCTTCCAGAGCCGAGCGCCGATTCGCCAGAAAGTAACACGACAACGTCCACCGATGGAGAGGTGAGGAATGCTGGTGGACAAGACAATCAAGCCTTCTCCTCACCCTCTTTTTTGCCAGCGTCATTGGGGGCCTCACCCTCGCCTTCGCCTTTAGACTTGACATATTCGTCATACACGTTCATAGCTTCATCAACCTTGGCACGAAGAGCGACCTCGTCGTTAATCCTGCACAGTGTTAGTGAAATTGTCCAAGTGTTTAGGTAGATATGGACTTGACTTACAGGTTGATGAGCTCGGTATTGTCCATCTCCAACAACATACCAGTGATCTTACCAGCCAACTCGGGCTGCTGAGTGTGGATCTTGGGGTACAGAGCCTCACCGAGCATCTGTTTCTGAGTCTGTGGTGGAGCAGCGTTCAGAGCGTTGACGTCAACACCATCAACAGGGGGCAATGGTCCGGACTGGCCAGTCTGACCAGGGGCAGGACGACCTTGGGGAAATCCAAGACCACCTTGGCCTGAGCGTCCATTTTGCTGGAAACCACCACGGCCGCCTTGACCGGCTTGCTGACCACCACGCATGCCTGGAACCATCGGAGGCATCTGAGGCATGCCAGGAGCACCACCCATTGGACCACCACGACCACCAGAACCACGACCGCCCATAGCAGCGGCTTGTACTTGAGCGACCTGCTGCAGGTACTGAGGGTTCATGTACGGAGGGAAGGCGCCAGGAGGCATGTTTGGTGGCATACCATACATTGGTGGCATTTGCTGGCCGTTGGGGCCGCCACGTCCACCTTGTTGAGGACCACCAGGGAAGCCAGCTCCGCGTCCTCCTTGTCCTCCGCTCGGCATTACGGGGAATGGCATCTGACCACGAGCATTCGGAGGCATGAAGCCCTGCTGACCAGGAGGGAAGAACATCTGGGGTTGAATGAATCCCTGGGTGGGCATGCCACCGGCGACAGCAGCCTGCTGTTGGAGACGAATTTGATTACGAGCTTGGATGGTGGCCTCGAGCTATGGCATCATGGTTAGCAACAGAGACTAAAGTGCGCTTTCAGAGTTTGCAACGTACCTGACTCTTGCGCACATCCTTACGCTGAGCGAGAGCAACGTATAGAGGCTTGCTCTCAAACATCTTTTGATTCATCTCGGTAACAGCCTTGGTAGCCTCATCAGGATTGCTGAAGCACACGAAGCCGAAACCTTTGCTCTTGCCAAGAATCTTCTTCTCGCCCTTGATGGTGACCTTGTCCTTCTCCTTGGTGTCCTTTGACTCGTCGCCTGAGCCTTCCTTCTTGTCTTCGCTCTCTTCGTCTTTCTTTGCCTCATCCTTCTCAGTCTTTGCCTCGTCCTCATCCTTGTTTTCCTCAGCCTCAGCACCATCAGCGGGGAGAGTGTCACGCATGACCTTGGCGGAGGTAATGTTGCCGTATGGCGCAAACATATCGCGTAGCTTATCATCATCCACATCGTCATTGAGGTTTTTGACGTACAGATTAACGCCCTGGTACTTCGACTGCTTCTCAATACGGGCAGCCTCATATTGCTTACGGAGCTCCTCCTCACGTTCGTGCTTCTTCTGCGCACGGCCCACGTACAGCTTCTGACCCTTAAAGTCAGAATCGTTCAGTGTGTCCACTGCGACAGAAGCATCCTCGTGCTTGATGAAGTTGACGAAACCAAAGCCACGGCTCTTACCAGCATCATCAACAGCCAAAGAGGCGGAGGTGATAGGACCGTGCTTCTCGAAAAGAGCGCGGAACTCTTCCTCAGTAGCCTCTAGATCAATGTTCTTGACGTAGATGTTGGTGAAATTGGCCTTCATCTCCTCAAACTTGCTCATGCGATCCTTCTTAGGAATATGGTGACCAACGAAAACCTTCTTCTCGTTCAACAACATACCGTTGACATGCTTGATGGCATTGGTGGCTGCCTCGGCAGTCTCGTAGTGAACGAATCCGTAACCCTTGGAGTTGCCTTGCTCATCCTGAGCGACCTTGCAACTGAGGATGTTGCCAAACGCGGCAAATGTATCGTGGAGAGCCTTGTTGTCGATAGCAACATCCAGGTTTTTGATGAAGACATTTCCTTGACCAGTCTTGCGCAGAGCTGGGTCACGCTGGGACCACATGATGCGGCAGGGCTTTCCTTTGATGACAGTGTAGTTGAGCTCCTCCAAAGCCTTCTCTCCGTCCTCGGAAGAGTTGTAGTTGACATAAGCGTATCCGAGAGAGCGACGAGTAACGGCGTCACGGCAGACACGAATCGAAGCTACCTGGCCGATGGAGGAGAAGAGCTCGAACAACATGGCTTCGGTGACAGAAGGATCGAGCTCGCCCACGTAGAGGGAAGCAGAGTTGTGATGGGCAGAGGAAGGTGCTGCAGAGGTGGGAGTTGGCACCTCAGAGCCGGAAGGCGCACCGACATTGGTGTTGATGCTGGCACCGTTGGGACCGGCCTCAGCGGGCGCCGGTGAAGTAGAAGCTTCAGCAGACATGTTTCTTTTCTTTGTGTTGACGTCGTTAAAGACTGAGTGGGCGATAAGATCCTGCGGAGGGAGGATATTGTCAAGAACAGAGAGCGTGCGAAGGTGAAGACCGAGTGCTCGCGTTGGCGAAGACGGCGGTCAGAATCTCAACGTGAGGGATTTGGCTTTTCTGTTCTTTACGGGGGGTTTTTTTTTTGCAAGGACGGGTTTTCGACGGTTTTCTGGAGGGGATGGGGCAAAGAGAGACTTCGCAGACTCTCCGGAGGATAGGCTTGACAAAGCTTGAAGATGTGGTTTTTTTTATGATTTTGGGGGTGGAGAAAAAGTATCAGGCGGTCGCGAAGTGCGTCTTGTAAGAATTCGGGTAGTCACGGGACCTGGCGGGAATTCGCGCTAGCCGCGAAAATTCAGTGAGGGAGCCCCCGGCCGCTAGCAGAGAGGGGGTGGGGGTGCATTTAAGCGAGCGAAAACAACATCACCGTCGTCATCATCGTCAGCATTCACTTGTGTAAGGGGTGTTGAACAACAGAGTTCATTCTCTTATGATATCCACGTCTGAAAGGACCAGGCTCAAACGAAAGAAATCAGTTTAAAGGCCCTTGTCACTGTACACTGGGATTGGCTCACGCCGCCACATGCAAACAGCTGCTCAGGGGTTTATTCACATGCACACTGGGTAAGAGCTGGTCAGTGTGACAAGTTGTTACGTGGCATCATTATGACCCATGTCTCAATGTTGATAGCTTAGAGTATCTATCATACAAGTGCCATCATGCTATCAAAGACACTATTCCGCATCTTTAAACAGTAACGCCGCGCTCGTTAACATAACGTGATACCTTATGTTCCCATATGTAAAGTATGTACCACAATGGATCTCCAAATATACAATGAGCCGGATGTGGGTATCGTGCAATCGTCTTCTTTGCCTCTACTCCTGGAGGCTCTCATCCCATCCACCGCGCTCCATCAGGAAGCCTTCTACACGCTCTCGACACTCCTCCAAGCCCGTCCCTAGCGCATCTCGCCACTGTCCCTCTACCACCTCAACCTTCTCCTTCAAATCCAGTGTCAGTCTCGCCTCTTCATCTTGCCTAATGGCTTGCATCTCGGCTTCCACCGTCGCATGATCTTCCCCGGCCATATGTCTTTGCATCTCTAGCAGACGTGTACTGGCAGCCATCACGCCATTCTTGACCTCATGAAGGAGGCAGAATAGATTTGTCTGCGATTCGATGAATTGATACGCAGACTTCCTTGCATGATCGAGCAGCGAGTACAAATACTGCATAGGAAAGTCGTAGTAGGACGGATTTTCGCTGTACTCCTGAAGTGGGATCAAGATCTGAAAATCCTCAAGATCCTGCGGTACCTTTTGGACCACGGTAAGAAGTCCCGGAGCTATGTCCCAGAAGGCAGATAGCTGATCCTCCACACCGCGAGATACGTTCGCCTCTACGATCCTGAGGAATTCTTCAAAGCGTCTGAGGGTGTCTTTCTCGAATCCGACCTTGCGCTCTTGTGCATCTTTGGTAAAGAAGGCATCGACCTCTTTGGCCTTATCTTGATTGCCTCCCATATCGTATGGGATCAGTACGTACTTCTTGTAGTATTCGTCTCGCTCTCGCTCAACTTCAAACAGATCCCGATGAAGTTGCTCGCGCACCTCGAAAAGCCACTTTAGAAGAGTCAATTTCTCGAGTAGCTCTGGTTGCTCATCTCCTTCTTCCTGCGTTTGATTGGGATTTGACTCATGCGCTAGATCCTTCCTCAGATGATCAATTGAGGCTGTAGCCTTGGTGACTCTCTCTGAAAGCAACGCATTCAATGGGCCGTATACTTCTTTTTTATAGCCGTCGAATTCTGCCTTTGCGCATTGCTGGCTACGCTGCACTTCTTGACTGTCGAAATTGGCTTCTGCTTTGGCTGCATCGGCAAAGCTCATATGTCCCGAACGTATTTGGTCCTGTATATCGAAACGGAGATGGTTCCGTCGTTCTGCTGCTGCTGTGCGCTCTTGCTCTCGAGCTGACGCTACCCGGGATTTGAACTCATCTTTAATTGGGTTCACACTATCGAAATCGCTCAAGCTGCGTAGAACAGCACGAATAGAGGCTAAATCAGGATGGTTATTGTTGACTGCGGGGTGGTGACGAGGGTATGGCGGTGGAAGGGTGACTAGCCGAGAAACGTCAAGTTTATATGGGTCTGGAGTCGCTGGTGCAGAGTGGGTGAAGAACTGGTATGAGTGCGCAGATTGCGGGAGCTGTTGTTCGTGTAGGCCGAACTTCTCTGGCGGATACTCATTCGGACCAAGACCTGCATAGTCAATGCTAGGCCCTGGAGTACCACTATACGGTGGTGTGCTCTCTCCATCCCACTGGAGATGTTCGCGAACTTCCTTGGGAAGACCCATATACTTTGACTCACGCTTCGATCGTTCTAGCTTCTTACCGCCTCTGCCTACTGATCCATTGGCGCTTTCTTCCCACCATCGACTGGCGGACCGTCCTCGAGAATCTTGCTCGTCTGGTACAGTGCTCACTGCCATACTTGGTATGGGTGATAGGCATGGTTGGAACCCTGTGTGATGCGGGTTCTCCCCACGGCTCTGTTGACTCGAAACACTCGCTGGTGAGTCTGGCTCACCGCGGGCAAACGTTGTCTTCGTAACTGCTGGGCTAGGGGTTGGGAAAGGAGAGGAAGGTGTCGCAGACCGCCAATGAGATGCTGATAGAGGTGCCGTCTGGCTAGGGGTAGCGGATCGCCGTCCTGTGCCATTATATGAACGCCACATGTCCCGTGTAAGGTCGAAAATTTCGCTAGCCATGCTATCAAATGCCGCTGAATATTGATCACGCCGTAATCGAGATTCTGCAACAATAAATTCGGCAAACATTTCAAGACGCTCTTGGTCGGTTTGAGCATTCCTTTCCCTGTCAACAAAAATCCGATGCCTCTCGATAGCAGCTTCGGCGAAGAGGGCACCTTCTGAAGACTTAGGTCGGTTTATGGCACCAGCAATGGCCGTAGGTGTTTTCGTCATACCAGCAGAAGGTGGACGAAATGGCGAGAGTGGAGCCTGCATCGAAATATCCTCATTGGGAACATGGAGAATGTGCGATATAGGTCGATCCAAGGCATGTAGCCTCGGTACCCCAAGTCCGGATGCGGAAGGCTCCATATGTTGCGATATGGGTGGTGTAGGAAGCGCTTTTGGAGGCACTGCCGGATTTACGGATCTTCCCTGTACCGCTTTCCCGGAGGCCTTGTCTACAGTTGGGGAGAATGGAGGAGTCGGCGCAAAAGACTCTGGCGACATCACTCTGGCCGATGGGTCTGCAGTCCGGGGCGTGGAATGAGACGATGACGGTTCGGCTTCAAGAGAGCTCTTCTTCGTCAGAAACCCTGGTGATGGCATCCCTCTGCTGCCTGCGCTCCTCGGTGTACCCTTTGTGATGGTACGTCTCCGGCTAAGAGCGCTACCTATCGAGTCTAAAACTAAATCTGCAGGTTTGGCAGATGTGGATGGGCTGGCAGCTTGTTGCATGTCACGAGCCCAGGGATTATTGTTTTGCTCAACGGCCGTCGGAGGCTCCCCAATGCGCTCTCTCGCAGCTCGGCTTTCATTCCTGCGTTCTCTAATTCCTCTGGCGCTTGGATCACGTTTGGCTGTATTACGGTCCAGCACACTAGGGAACACGTGTGCGGTGTGAGGCTCAGAAATTCGGCTCCCTGAAGCTGTACTTCCTTCGCCATTAGTATTGGAGTTCCAGTCCGAGCCTGTAACGGAAGTTCCAGTCTCAAGACGAAGGCCTCTTGCAGCGGGTGACTTTGAACGCCTTCGAGCGTCTTCCTCAACCCAATCCGCGGGCGTTGGCGGTACAGGTCCAAGCATTGTGCCTGTTTGAGGTGGTCTTCTAGTAGGGGGCCCAGGAAGAGGGATTGTGCCTCCAGCGGCGGATGAGGAGGAAGGAAAGTGATCTGGTGTCCTACTCATACTCTGTGACCGCGAATTGGTCGGTGGTGGTGGACCTGGAGGTGGTGGAGGCAGAGCCGCCCCAGGAGCTGAAGCCTGCACGGGAGACTCCGTACTACCACTTCTCCTAGACGGCCCGGCGATGCCAATTGCACCAGTGGATGCAGCCCTCCTCGCTGCAGGTGCTCGAACGTCCATGTTATAGAATTCACGCTCGTTGATGATGTGCTGGGTGCCTCGACTGGGTCCTCAATTAGTCGTCATACCTATCAAAGAATCCAACTTCACAACGGCACTTACTGCTGCAAGTCTGGCGTCCGCATTAGGGCATCTGTAGTACCTTGCCGGAGTGATTCCATGTTGCTCGGCCCTGCTATTATCTCTGGTGCCTTATCTTTATGCCTGGACATCAGACTGAAGAAGCCTCGGTCGCCTTTGGGGCGTGACGAAGACCTATCTCGCCCGGGCGGCGGAGGGAAAGATGCACCAGCCAGTTGTGGGGTTGTATGTGCCGATATAGTTCTGTTTTGCTCCGGCGTCCTCGAACTGGATGCAACCGCTGGGCTATATTCAGCGTGCTGCGATCCCCCAGGCGACATAATGTTCTGTACAGATGCAAAGACATTGTTCGCGTTGTGGTGGGTCGGGCTGGCAGCATGGGCCATATTGGGAGAATATGGAGGAGGAGGAGAGGGCATTGAAGCTATATTATTCACAATCAGCATTTTCCCAGCGTCTACGCATGAGGATCGGCGACATACCCTCCATTCCTGTCAGACCATCCGACCTCACAGTAGATTGAGGACTTGACCGTGGCATGAAAGTTCCACTGGTAGGGCCATGCCTCCCCCATTCTTGTGGATTGTACGACGACACCATGGCTGTCGCGCTCCGGCAGCTCATAGGCGACTGGGAGCCTCTCGAGGAAGACGACGGCAGCGTGGTAGCAGAGGCTGGCGAGAAGACTGACGGGGTATATGGGGAAAGCGGAGTGTTTATGGAGACGGCCGAGGCGGGTGTAGGAGGTTGTAAGAAAGTCCCGTGCTGCGCGCCTATTGTGGTAGTTATGGAAGGCGGCTGTTGTACAGCTATGCGCCGTAATGGAGACGGCTGTGCGGTACGATACAACGGCGATGAAGATATGGCAGGAGAGGTAGGATTAGGCGGGGGACCTGGAGGAGGAGGATAGACATTCCTTTGACTAGCGCCGTGCATCTGGAGAAGCCTCGAGTGGCTGTCGCGAATGCGCGAATCCGAATTCACGGTTATACTGTGCTGTGGGAGGGTCTGCTTGAAGGAACAATTGTGGGCGTTGAGTCGTCTGTGGGTACGGGGTTTCTGTGATGGGGGCCATCTGATGGGGCGTCTGCTTAAGCCCTCAAGGATTGTCAAACGGAGATGCTACACAGATGGTATAAGCAGGACAAGCTTCTGCCTTGTAAGCCTATACACCACACCACACTGATGGGCCGATGAGTGATAGTGACTGCAGCAGTAGAATGCAGCGATTGGATGGACAGCCTCAAGCTTCTCCTCAACCTCTGTAGTCAGTGGAAAGGCTTCAAGCCCGTTTCTATTTTGGAGGTCTACTCCATGCACTAGCATGCTCATGGCTGGGGCACGCGAATACAGTGGCTTCATTGAGCGAATCAAAATGCTTGGGCGTGCGTTCGGCATTGGCAGGGGTGCAGGGCACCATGCATATCTCCAGCGCCGGCGCTTAGCTTCTTGGTCCTCTGTCACTTTGTGCTTGAGGTGCTGATGCTGGTGCCGATATTACGGCGGCCGTTGTGTTCAACGAAGATATGCTGTGTAGCAAGATAAACGGCACACGCGTATATACGGGTCCAATGTAAGAACGTTCTGTAGTGACGCCGCATGAGGGAAAATAGGAGGGCGGACCTGAAAGACAGGTTGGGATATCGATAGTAATCAGATCCTCGGCCAGACTAGACCCGTTGGAGTCAATTTCTGGCGGGGTGACACACGGATGCTACACGTTGATTGGTGTGTTGGGTCAGCCGTCTATATATAGATCTTCCCGCAGCTCACGTGGATGTATCCTTCAGATCCGTAAATATACGGTCAAAGAATTAAGAGTCTACTGCGAAGTAACCATCATCACTGTCACCAAATACACAGCTTATAGCCTTCTAGACCTGCAGTTCACACAACGTGCTAGAATCCTGCGCATGAGTGATTTCGAGAACTCAAAAGCCATTAGGTTGTATCTAAGTGTAGATTGTAGGTAGCTCTGCACGTTGATCAGGTTGTAATGATGTTGATTTAGGCTATGCTATTATGAGTGTGTATGTCGCAATGCAATCATCATGTCAACCCTCTGCAGTGTGTACCAACCACCCGTCTTACCAGAATGCCCCACACACTTGTCCGGATTCTTATTTCTGGTACTTGTTGTAGGTGTCAATCACCTTTTGCACTTCGTCATAACTGCCCAGGAAGATGCCGGACCGATCGTGAATATGCTCGGGCGGAACCTCAAGCATGCGCTGCATCTTACTATTGACAGCCTGACCACCAGCTATACATTCGTTAGCAAGCGGCATCCTATAAGCCGAGACGGAACTCACCATTTTCAAAAACCATAGCCATAGGAGCGCATTCGTACAGAATACGAAGCTTTCCCTTGGGGCTCTTCTTGTCTGCTGGGTACGCAAAGATACCTCCGTACAATAGAGTACGGTAAGCATCTGCCACCATGGAACCGATGTATCTCGCGCTATATGGCTTGCTCGATTCAGATCCCTTGAGGCTGTTGACCCACTCCTTGATCGGCTCTTCCCAGTAAAGACTGTTACCCTCATTCACCGAATAGATCGCGCGCTGCTTCGGAACCTTCATGTCGGGATGGGTCATGATGAACTCGCCCAGCGCATTGTCCATGGTGAAGCCAGTGACAGGACCGTCCTTTGTGGTAATGACTAATTGCGTCGAGGCTCCATACATGGTAAATCCACTAGCCACCAGCTCCGTTCCAGGTTTCAGGATCTCTTCTTTTGTCCCCTGCGCCCCTGGCTCGAGTCTATAGATGCCGAAGATTGTACCGACCGATACACCTGCGTCTAGATTGGACGAACCGTCGATAGGATCGCAAACGACAGCATATCTGGCATCTGGAAATTCATCAAACTTGATGACCTCCTCCTCCTCCTCCGAGACCAACATGCGTACTCTTGCACAGCTGCGCATCGCGCTGATGAACAGATCATTTCCAATCACATCAAGCTTCTTCTGATCGTCGCCCGTGGTATTTGATGAGCCCGCAAGACCAGTGAGCTACAGGCACTGTTAGCATCATGTCCGCACAGCTGCAGACTGTACGACGTACGTTGATGAGGGTAGCACGTCGAATGTAATATGCTATGCTTTTGAATGCAAATTGTAGGGCGTGGCAGAGTAACCTGAGCTCAGTGGTCAGTCTGTAGAACTGACTCAAGATGAGCGTCAACATACGTGAAGTCTCCAGTGGCTTCTTTGTGTTTGGTTTGCTCCTCGGTCAGGAAGCGCGTGAGAGTGACAATGTCGGTGTTGACCTTTTCCGTCGGAGCTCCATTTCCGTTCGTTGCCATGATTGCGAGTTTAATGGTCGTTGGGGTCTTTCAGGGAAAAGAGAGAGAGGAGAAAGCGATGATATTAAGATTTAGTACAGATGTCAAAGTGAAGCTTCAGATGATTCAGAAGAGCCTCGGGTGTGCGGATTAATCTGCTACGGCCTTGGAGTTTCTGCAATTACTTCAAGTATGTGCGAGGTGAGTTATGGAGGTTGGTATGGACCCGATCGTGGTGTAATGAAGAAGCAGCGAGCCGATTGTCTCATGATTAAGTATCCCGAGGTCAAACTTGTACCAGGCCGTGATTTGCCGTTCTCGTGAGAGCGGAGTGTACTGCTACAGAGTGCCAGATGACGACGATAGGTGGAGCGTTCTGATTGCGGGGCAGATTAGCTCCTTGAGGTCTCTGCAGTGCTTTCTCCCGACATCTCCCGCTATTCGGCCGGCTTCATAGCGATAAATGGCGCATCGTCTTGAGACAGCGACGGTCATGTATCAATATCATAGATGAGAAGACATTGGAGTGAAAGGAGTCCGCCATTGCTACCCTAGCACCACTCAAGTTTAATCACAGACATCGGGATCAAGTGCTCGCGTGTTCATGACCTCCAGAAGCGGTAAGGTCTGATCGACTCGGCACAGCACCGTCCTGCTGGGAAAAAGACTACATGAGCGTGCCAACCATTAGCATATTCTGTGTCAGCAGGCTCATCGATTCGTGGAATGAGGTTGGCATAACGATTATTGCTGAGAAGTCATTGGGATTCAGGCTACAACAAAGCCAACGTGGGTGTTGGATCATTTCAGGGAGAGCCCTGGCAGGGAGAAGTGTGTAAGCTAGGCTCGAAAGAGCAAGGGAGCTATGGCCCAGCTAGCCTGCGCCGGGGAACAGCCGTAGTTCAACCGTAGTAGCGAAACTTTTTCTCGGTTACCAATTCGTCTACAAAGCTCTTCTTCACCAGCCCATCTTCAATACACATCTCGCCATGCAACTATGTAAGTACAGCTACTTCTCGTCTTTCCTTTCTGATGATTTGTACAACCGCAAACTAGAGTCTTTGACCTCCAAAGAGGAATGAAACTCATCGCACACGTCAGTCTGACTACTGTCGCTTCACGAAAACATTTTTTCTATTACTGCAAAGTCGTCAACTGACAATTTCTCTAGTTCGCATCCGTGACGCGTCGACTTCCTCGCGCTGATGTGATCTGACAGATCTCTTCGCATCTATTAGGTGCGAAGAGTATGAGCTTTGTAAATGTAAGTCTCTGATACCCTGCCATGATAATATTTACCCTCGCGATGATGACGTGTGAGCATTGCTCGCTGGAAATTACCGACCGAGTAGACTTCGGTCTCTCTGAGGCACAACAAAGGCTGTATCTGAGCTTCAACTATGTCACCTACTGTTCTGCATAATTGGTTGACGGTGTACTGACAAGATGAATTAGGTCGCAACAAGGCTCGCTCTTATACGGTATGGCCATCTTCTGCTCCTCGAATACTACGTGATGAATGGCACTGGGCTCCGAACTCTAGAATGAAAAGGATATGCCATACTGCGACAGGCCTAGAAAACCTCGTCCACTGATATCTGCCTTGTGTCTGCGACATGTCGACGGTGTTTATTATTCATGGAACTGACGTCGCGTCAGGCATCGCGTTGAACACACCGCGCATGAAACCTCTTTACAGTGTAAGTCATGTGCACCACCTCCACTCCTCCTCTACGTGATGAACATCTAGATGACGAGTCTTATCTGGATTTTCCAATGCAGACACCACTTTTTTAATAACCATTCATGCCAACTGAAATGAAACTGTTCTCCTCGGCCTTTATCGCTCTTCAAGCACTGACGCTGACATGTCGAAAGAAGTCTAGACCATTGGTGTAAAGTATCTCTCCTTCCGATTGCGCGCCTTCGATGATGATTCGACTTAAAAATGACAAGCATATGTCCAAGCCACCTCGGTGGTGTTGACGAGACTGTCTCATCTGACTGTCGTGCGGCATGATCGGCGAGCTTGCCAGCAGGTCTGAACCTCTGACTGACTGCGCATCAGATTTGTGGTTGAACATTACGAGCTGGATGTATTCTACCAAGGTAAGCCATCTCCGCATGACGTCCCCTTGTTCAACTTTTACACCTTCCCAATGATGATTTACTCTATCTCACGACGGTCAACTGAGCTACAAGTTAGCTTTGACGAAAGTGCCTGTGACAGGGCTTTGATCTGATCTTGACGCGCTTAGTCATGACTTTCATGCACTTGCTGCGATGGACTGTGCTGACACTCTCGCTAGGTACGTACAGTGTGGCAGTGCATTGTGATGTTCCCTCCCTCGTCCCCGTCCTTGTCCTCGTCTTCGCCTCGTAGAGCACATGGTGCCATGACTGGGCCGAAGTGGAAACGAGCTGTGACTGTTCTGATGAGCGAGTATTCGTATTAGTCTTAAGTTTTTAATCTAAATGTAATCTTGTTATTGCGAACCCAGCAGTGTTCAAGGTGCTTTCTCGTCAGTGGCATCGTGCAGTGAATGTGGTTGATCCTATGGCTTGTGGTGACATACCTGATACGCAGGACAGCTGGTTTAGATTTCGGAAAGGCCCGCTTATACCCAGTTTTCCAACCATACTTCCATCGTTACCTTCGAAAACCCAGCTTGCCACAGTAATGTTTCAAGCAACACGACCAGTGGTGTCAGTGGGTGTATATCTTGCTATGAGCTTTGTCTCCTACATCAGCTGAAGGTTGACTCCGCCACTTGAGGGCCGACATTGTATAGCCAGCGTAGACATTACTTCATGCGAGGAATGACGCAGTGGAGGCCCATAAGTATGCAGCGCCACAGAGCTTGATTCCTGGACCCTGACTCGATTGATCCAACGGCGGATACGCGGATAGAAATCGAACGAGTTCCAGGCAGCTAGAGGCTCGTTGTGGACCCACAAGGCACATCAATGAACACGATCTAAAGCGTTCAGAAGGCAAGCCCGAGCGATGTTGCGCCGCGCGAGCGAGGAGAGAGCGCATAGATAAACGAAGGGTTTATCCAAAGCGGCAGTGCAATCAGGGCAGGACAGCTGAGCAAAGAAGCGAGCAAAAGAGCGCGTGCCTACCTGTGTTTCCCTCTGATATCTATATCCTATATTTTCTCGACCCTTGTTTCTGTCTACTCGTCCAGAATATCTGTCTATTCGAATTATACCCACCGTACCGCATCTGACTAAGAGCAAACATGCCCTTCTTCAAGCAAGTGACTGCAGGACTGAAAGACCTCAAGGCCTCCTACGATCGCAAGAACGCGAATAAAGAAGGGAAGAAGCCTGACTATGGGACTGGCAGTGACCCTCAAGCGATAGCCCAGCAACCGTTCGGCCACGGGCAGGCCTACGGCCAGCCATTCGGAAACCCTCCACAGCAGAACGGCGGTGACTATGCTCCACAGCCATCACAAGGACCACAACCTCAGGCCCAGGGACCGCCAGGCCAGAGCGTGCTTCCCGTAGGCTGGATCACGCAGTTCGACCAGAGCAGCCAGCGGTGGTACTTTGTCGAGCAAGCGACTGGCCGCACGCAATGGGAGGCACCGGCTTCTTCTGCGCCTTTTCCTCATCTTCAACAAGAACAACAACGACAACAACAGCAACAATTCATACCGCAACCCGCTGGTGCACATGACATTCCGCCTCCTCCTCCGGGACCAGCAGCAGCCGAACGCGGACAAGGCGGGAAGAAATACGTCAAGCAGGCCGCGCACCTGATCGTCGGCGCGCACAAGAAGAAGAAGGAGAAGAAGAAGCAGAAGAAACAGGCGCAGCAGCACGGCGGTGGTGCTGCGCATGAGCATGGTGGCCAGGAGGAAGAATACGAGGAAGGGGAGGAGTATGAGGAAGGGGAGGAGGGGGAAGAATATGAGGAAGAGGAGGCGTATGAGTATGAAGATTATGAGTAGGATGATAATGTGGCGGTGTGTGAGGCGGAGAATGTGTTTTGTTGTAGATATAGATATAGATATAGATATACCATTGTAAGAGTATTTAATTTTAGAATCATATGTGCTTGCCATGGATCTCTCAGAAGATTATACAGATGAAATCTACCACCCAGGCCAAACGCCAAGTCGGCGATGACGAGCGGAAGAGATTTGAGACTTTCAAGTTGTAAATACATACCCGTAATACGAAGGGACTCCGATAGCAGGAGAGCACGGAGCCAAACACCAAGACGACTCCCTCCTCATCCTTGATAAAATGTCTCAGTGCTGTACATTATACGTGCCGTTGCCGTGCGGTGCCGTGCCGTGTTATACTATGCTGTATGGCCAAAGTACCAAAGCCCCGCGCCCCCAGACACGCAAACAATAAACGTGCAGATCAGGGCGCGCCCGGAGTCCGCGAGTGCATGAGCGGATGGATGGATGGATGGATTGAAGGTGGGGGCCAAGAACGAGGTACCCGGGCGGCACCACCACGACCACGCGGCAGCCACGGAGCGGCAGTGGGAGTACTGAAGTCTTGTATATGCGTATACTATACATAGAGTACACGAGATCCGGACGTGTCGATCATCTATGTAGATATAACTATAGATATATAGGGCGACTGACAAGACGTACTAGTACGTAGCCATGCAACAAGGTAGACCATCTGGTACTATTCCAGCCCATAGCAGGAGGAGGAGGAGCCTGTGGTGCCTCAGGTCGGATTCTGAATCGCAGAACAGGAGAGAGAGACAGCAGAGGATAGGATCCTCATGCACCCAAGACCGTGGTGCAGAGCCGAGAGTGATATGGCCTCTCGTAAACAACGCATCCAAGAACCGGGGGGGCTACGTAAGGCTGCATGGCCGGGAGCGAGTAGGGGTTGTATGGGGGTGGATGCGGTATGGTATGGAGACTGGGGGATAAAGGCCTCACTGCTGTGCGGGCCTGGGGGAAGGTCAGGGGTGCTTGGGCGGGGATGGAGTGCTGGGTCTGTAGTATGATGATATTCGGACTGTTGTCAAGCTGCGCCTAGGGGGTTAGGTTTTGTCATGAAGTAGCCTTCTCTTCAAGGACGACAAGGAGCAGAGAGATGTAGTAGTAGACATGAAGTCATGTAGCAGTTACGCGACAGCTTCATACATACATATATCCGAGCGCGTAATAGAAAACCCCCTAAAAACGAGGTACTCCTCGATCCATGTTAGAGCTGCCATAACAGACATAGTCCGCCGACGCACGGACCCGTGCCCAGATGTCCCGGCCAAGCACGCTTGAATACATCCGCAGACGGACAGATGCAGTGATCTCGTTCTTCTCTTTTCCCCCCCTCTCTCTCAATCTCTCTCTCATCGCTCTTCTTATATATCTTGTATCATCGCATAAGGAGAGATCCATCATCATCGTTATCATCGTCACAGAGCCGAAGATATCATTAGGAACGATATACTGACAAACATGGTTCGGACCAACCACGGGCCTCGCCCATACTGCTGCACGCCTCAGACCGGAACTAGTACGTATCCGAATCTCTACCATTACAATAATCACCAAACATAACCACACCAAACATAACTACACCAAACACTAAACAAACACAGATCCCCTCGCCCTAACCCGCACCACACCCAAACACGCAGACCACACCACCCGCCGCCCCTTCGAAATGAGCCACCACCTCCGCAAACTCCGCCTCCTCTACCTCGACGAAAAAATCGCCCAATCCGAATACACTTCCTCTTCGACAACCACAACCACCACCCTCGAACCCGACCTCGCCTCCTTCAACACCTACCCAAAAGACCTCATCCCCTCCCTCCGGCCCCGGCCCCTC